AAAGCTTCAACCTTTTTCCTATGCTGTCGGAGCCGTCAATACAACCTTCTAAGGGCACGGATACGGTTTGGCGCATGAATCGTTGGGGCAGCGAGGGGAGCCCATAAGCGCTGGACATGTCAAATGAAGACTAGCAGACTAGATCCATGTCGAAATGTCACTGTAACATCATCTCATTGGTTCAATATGAAAAAGGCGGACAGAATTGATCATGCACATCAACTCCGATAACTCCAATCGTGGGCCATGCCATATTTGGAACCCTGAAGTTGGTGGTGTTGTAAGGATGGGAGCATCTTTCTTTGCCCATGCTACCATGCTTCAAAAACAGCCATCTCGCCCTTTCGAATCAAAAAATACCACCATGACCTAAAGGGAGGTCGATCCCATAGGAAAAAAAAGGGATATCCTTCACAACTTGAAAACTTCAACTCACACTCAACTTGACTCGTTTACATCTTTATGTTCAGATGAGACCAAAGGCAAAGTCGTCTAAATAGGACGAAAGCCTGGCTTGAGTGCTTGAGTGCTTGAGTGCTTGAGTGTCGAGGTTAAGTCTCGTTTGTCGCGATAGCACCTTCGTGTTACTATTTTTAGAATCGGGAGACTGTAAAGACGCGACAATGAACCCTCATAGAGAGCATGGTTTCCGAAGAAGAATGGAATTGAATCCCATCACAACATCTGTTCAGGTCACTCCTCCTCATCATCAGACTCCAGGATCTACCATCTCTGGAAATCCGAGCTCAGCATTTGGATATCATCCATCACAGTACAACACACCTCAGAGCTCAGTGCGACAGTACAACCCTTCACAATGGACCTCATCTCCCAGCGTCAGTGGTGGTTCAGATACTTCGCATTATTCTGCCAGGCCACCTCACGATCCAGATGGTATTTGATTTCAAAAACTGTTTTAAACTTTCGAATTACATCCACAGTGTGCGCGGGGTAGTAAAAGCTAATAATTAATTGCAGTAGTGATTCCGGCTCCACCCCCATACTCACCACCTCGAAGCAATAGACCGGCAGGAGGGCCAGATGAGTCTATGTCTTCTCCACCACAGGCATATCGGTCTTCCCCAGATATTCCACATACCCCTCATACTCCGGCCCCAAGTACCCCACACCCAAATTATCCTCCTCCACCTGGTGGACGATCGAGAGCTGGATCGAATGATCGGCCACATGGCATCTTTGGATTCTCCAGGAGACAAGTCAACCATTCTGAAAATCCCAGAATGTCACCAGCAAACAGGGAACCAATACCTCCAGTTCCAGCCATTCCAAGAAGAGTTGTGGAACAGACTCGTCAAGAACTTGCAGAGCCTGTTCCGATCAATGTTCTACCTCCAGGGTCCCGTCGAGCTGCATCTACGGGAGCCATCAGCTCAGCATCCCCGGCGCATTCGCGAGATCCATCTACTACTCGATGGCAGCCTGGAATGCCCTTACCTCCGCCTCCGCCTGGCGTCCCTCCACCCCCAAGATCCCAAAGTATGACCCGTACGCTCGAAAGTGTAACCTCTCCCCCTACGCGAAGACCCCCGCCTTCATCTTCTTTAGGTCCAGTTCCGCCCACTCCACTCTCGCCTCCACCCCAAGCTTCTGCGGCAGCGTCAGATTGGCCTGACGAGACACCCACAGCAGCACCCCCCCGAAACCGTGTAGAAAGTCCCGTGCTCCACATCGATACTTCGAGTAACGCTTCTAGTACAGCGACTGATTCTATTTCTGATTCAAATTCTTCTAGCTTGGCAAGATCGCGAGCAGTCAGAGGAGAGAAAACTATTCGTGAAAGAAGAAGTGAAAGTAGAACTGGCAGGGTAGCTTACCCTGAATCGGCTGTTGAACAATCAAATAATCCTTGGGCGGAAGCGATTACTCCTAGTGACATTGTTGTGCCCCTAGCGAGGCGTCAAACTATAACCAGGGCTACTCCAAGGAGCGGAAGATCATCTAATTATTCAGAAACTCCGAGATCGTCCCAACCCATGCAGCAGAACTTGACCACTCCCGATCGTATGAACGGAACTGCTACTGGCTCTAGGGGCTCAACTCCTAGACCAGTGGCACCTACTCCGCCTTTCTCTCCTGAGTCTATCAGGTCATCTGGAATAGAACACTCACCATCAGTTCCTTTTAAATCCTTGCCAACTCCCCCACCACAGTCAAGAATGGTTCAAAAGACTCCCAATAATCGTCCGCCTTCCTTGATCATCCCTAAAAATGACTCCGCAGTCATCGCTGCTTCGACTGCATCCCAGCCTGCAACAGGCAAATCTGTTGCAAGTCAAATATCCCAAATGACCCCAAATGATGATTTCGCCTGCTCTGCAGCAGAGAGACATGAAATTTTTGTTCAAAGAGAAGCCAGTGCAACAAATGATACAGACCGTGTACGGATTTTTGCTGAGTTCATTGTGAATGAATCTAGAATTCGTCGAGACCGTTATGCGTCTGCTATAGATGCAATGGGATCCGAGATCTTAGATTTGACTCGGGACTTATTTCGCCCGAATACTAATCCTCGTAGAGACTCTTCGGCGTCTCGTGCAAGTGAATTCACACCTGCATCGTCAGCTGCGCCAAGATCCCATAGGGGCTCGCTAGTAGGGGCCGTAAAGGAAAATATACCGTTACAAAACTCAGAACCAAGATCTGGATCGCGCCCACCCACGAGGCCAACCTCACGCTCAGATTCAAGGCCTGGATCTAGAGCTAATTCAGCAGGCCCGCCATCTCCCGCTCCAACACAACAAAATCCACAATGGTGGAGTCAACCTGGCTATATGCCCTCCTTATCTCCAATCCCAAGCATGAGTGTTAGTGAGGCACTTGATGGTGCAAGTTCACGAGGAAGGCCTTCAAGCAGATGGTGGGAAGTTAGTCAACATGGGTCAGATGGAGCTCCTTCGTCAAGATTCGAAAGATCAAAACGGGAATCAAAGTATATGGGTATGCCAAAGGAATTGCGTGAAGCTTTACAATTTGGTGAAGGAGACCAATCTTCGGGATCGCCAATGGAGAATACATTCGGTGGGCCGAGTAATCCAGCCCATCTAGGTCCCAACGAATATCCACAGGAGAAAACTGGCTTCCACCAACCGAATCAAGTATCTCCCGTATTTCAGTCAATTGTTCCCCCAGCCCTCGTTCCACGAACGCCCTTCACACCAAATCCCCAGCACCTTGATGTTTCAAGATTGGTCACATTACCCCCACCTTATCCCCGTCACCACCCAGCAGTGAACAACAACCATCCAGATCTCACAAGCATCCGTACAACTGTTCGTACCTTAAGCGACATCACTGAAGTAACTGCCACTAAAGAACGCTTTTTGAGGGATAGTGCTCAGATGCAGGAAGATCAAACTACCGCTGCTTCCAAACGTCGAACATCACTACGTCTCCGTACGCAGCGCGATATTGAAGCTGGAACGATCTCGTACGCTGACGCAGCTGCATACGAAGCAGATTCTGTCACCAGTGAAATTCTCAAATCAAAGGAAGCCGCCAAATCTATCTTTGAACTCTTTCAATCTCAAGTCGTTCTTCCTGTCAACGAATTACTCATGACCCGTATTCAATCAGCCACCGATCTTTTTGAACAGCTGCGAAGTAAACTCTTTAATGACTCAAGAAACCAGAATCCGACTTCTACCCAGGAAGAAGGTGATGAACAACCAGAGCTTATTGAAAAATTGACCCTTCTCAAATGGATTTTCGAAGCTCGTGAGCAACTTCACCGTGAAGTTTACGAGTTACTCTCGGATCGCAATGATCGTTACAAAGAGATGATCATAACTCCTTATCGCTTATCCCAAAATACCGAAAAAGTGCGCGGCGCAGAATCCTTCTTCGCAGAAGATGCTCAAAAACGCAAACAAGAATTCGAATCCGAAATTCTCAAGCGTACAGAGGAACTCATGGATATTATCGAAGAAAATGTAGTGCGAGGCGTGGAAGTTCAACTCGGTGCTTTCTGGGATATTGCTCCCTCTCTCAGTCGTTTGGTTGAGCAGATCCCGAAAGATGGAGATTTGGAAGACTTTATGATACAAATACCCAAAGAAGAATACGAGGAAAATCCAAGCTATTATGATTTTCCGTTACAATATTTGTATACACTCATAGTCCACACGGGCAAATCGACATATCAGTTTATCGAGAGTCAGACGAATTTGCTCTGTTTATTACACGAAGTTAAAGTAGGAGTAACGGCAGCAAATTGTAGATTAATGGCAACTCAACGCGTGGCTCAGGGAGAAGGAAAAGAAGAGGTGGAGAGAGAGTTAGAGGCAGTGAAGAAGGAAGAAGAGGGAAGACTAACAGATGATTTGAAGGAGAAAGTGAAAGTTGTTGAAGAGCTTTGGAGGAGTGGCTTGGGGACTGAGTTGGATGAAGTTAGGGGGAGGATTTTAAGATGGCTGAAGAAGGTTGGAGGCGAGTTGCCGCCGGATGACGAGGCATAGAAGCGTAGTGGGCGAGTCATCGTGCATGCTAGAGTGGTATGAAAATCACCGATGCATGCGCGTATGCATTTATGAGGATGATGTTATGTCACGATATGATTCGATATCTTTACGTACAACGATTACGATTAGAAAGTTTGGAGGGCATAAGAATTCTTAATGTATATATTAACTTCAACTCACGATCGTTTCTGGGGAGCTTAGGAGCAGAATCATTTAGATTGTTGGCGGTAGCTTTTGTTATCTTTTCGATACCCCTTTTAGTATTTACATCGTTCTTCTTTTCGGCTATATAAGATTATGAGATTACGAAAATTCAGGCAGATCATTTTATGTGAATCATTGAGAATATTTAATTTTGGTGGCTACGTTTCTATCCTAGATACATGCATACCTCAAACCGAAAGCATAAAAGCAATCTATCAGAATCCATAGATGGACACAGAGACTAAAGAAAATTCTATAGTAACATCCTACCTCGTTTCCCATTCCCCATAGTTCCTGCAAAAATCTGGTCACTGATAGTCATAAGAACTTCTGTTCTGAGCCCTCGAGCTCGGGAATCATAGGATGCTCAGTGGGTGGTGAAGGTAGCGGTTTTTCCTTGGTGTGAGATTTGGAGCTCTCGATGTTTTCTGTTGAGGAGTAAGGATGAGATCGGAGTGGATGAGGTGCCTGATCTCTCTTTCTATCTTGGTCTTGATCTCTTGCTTTCTGATTGAATTTTGTCCCTGCTACGACGGCGGAATCATGTTCAACAGATGGTTTCTGGAGATTAGATGTTTTTGTAAGGGGAGAGTTTTGGCGCGGACTCTTATCTTTAGTCTTTCTTTTAAGTGCAGCTTTGACGTGTTTCCTAGGCTTGGGAGGCTCTGAATTGTTTGCAGATTGGTCATCTACAGCACTTCCTCTCTTTACCTTGACTTTTTTATTTGCAACGTGCGCAACTTCTTGTTTCGTCTCCATTTGCGATCGCGATTTGTCTCGGCTGGGTGTTTGTTGTAATATTACGCTCTCCGTCGAATAGGTTCTATTCAGTAATCTGTGATTTCGCCACGGACTATAAGATGGCACTGGTTGTTGGATTTTGATTGATTCTTGTCGGGGCATGTACACTTCTTGTTGAGGATGATGACTCTGAATAAGTGTTGGATTTGAGTTTGAAGAATGCACAAGCCGCGCATGTTGTTGTTGTTGGGAAGAATTCGATGATTCGTAACTGGGGACTTGAGATATGCTTGATGGGGAGTTTGTCCAAGAACCGTAGGAATCATGATGGGACGAGTAGCTGGGTGTTTCTTCGCCTGCGTTTGAGTAAATGTGTGAAGGGGAGTTAGTATGCTGTCTGTTTTGGCTGTCAACAGATTCTTCGCGATTTTCCAATTGTACTTCAGCGAAACTCGGTCTTTCTTGCTGCGCGCGAGACTCATATTTAGGTGCAACGTCATCGGGGCTCGTCCACCGATGTTGTGACATAGCATGCGAACGTTCTTCACCGGGCGTCTTCTGATGTATCTCGAAGTCTTGCGTCGAAGATATACGACGTGCTCGCGGATTATCTTCCTCGTTCACAAAGGGTACTGGTGAATCCTTTGCTGTTCGACGAAGCATTCGATTTCTTCTGATACAGCTGAAAAGTAGTAACATGGTAAGCACTAACGTGCAAGTAACAATGCCGATAATAAGACCAATACCAATTTCCGCTCCGACTGGAAGGCTGATGGAAGAAATTGGTTGCTCTACTTCATTTCTTTCTATTGAGGATGAAGAGGCTGTGTCAGTCAAGGAGGAACGACTATTCAATGACTGATCACGAGCCATCAGCTTGGATCGGGCATGCACTGCAGCCATTATTCATGTGTCAAATAAGATTTTGATAATATATAGTGAAAAGCATGTCCACAAACTTGTATGAACAAAAGACAATAAAAATACGATGCATTGTATGAATGATATACAATTTCTCAAGAGATATATAAGCTCGGGCCCACGACGAAAGGGAAATATTGAACGACCTCATCGAGGCCAAAATCAAGGGAAGGCAAAATTTTCGATGTCTTTAGACACTTCAGCCTTATAGGCCACATGGCCTTTTAACTGACCTCTCCAGCATTCAATATTCGTATATCCTCAGCTACACAACCAATAGAATCGATTGCGCTTGACTTGTTGGTTTTTAAGCGCCGACTTGTCAATATTATTGAATTTACCTAGTACTGAAAGAGCCGAAGATAGTGGCTTTACAGTAGCCCATTGAACATGGAATGATGATATATTGACCAACTTTAAACGTCTTCTGGCCTATAAGAAAAGACTATCTTGACCTTCGCTTCGATTTGGCACACAATGATATCAGAGCGTATTTCATGTTGGTACTTTTCTAGGGCTGGATGCTAAGAATTGTTTATCCGGGGAAAGAGGCTGTGTCGAAAAGATTTTTCTGCGCAAACATTCGACAGTAATGAAATCGTCAGAGTGCAATGAACTTCTATTGCTCACAACTGTCGCATACACCATTACCTGGTTGTTTGACTGTATCATGCGCAACGAGCCCTCATTTATAGACTTCATTCAAACGGTAGAAAATGTTGTCTGAATTTGGCGAAATGACTAGCTAAGCCTGTGAAACATAAAAGTCCCAACCAACGGCATACAAGCAGTCGAATGCACTGAACTATTAAAGTTGATCGCCATCAGGGGCCCTTATCTAAAGGTGCTCAATAGTTCCCGTGTGCCTTGCTATATGGAGGTTGTGACAAGCTAAGAATCTATATCCTTTGTAAAACTTCGCTAAAACATAATGATGCGACGATACACAACTTAAGCTATCCACTTCCAAGATTTCTTTTCCACAGAATCAAAAAATCGCACTGCAATAACGCAGAAGGTAGCGCCAGACAAAAGCGCAGCATCAAACAAGATCACCGAACGATAGTTTCCCAACTTGCTCTCCCCCAGAATTTTGCCACCAACCGGACTTCCAAGCATGGTTCCGAGGCCTCGAACAAAATAAATAAACCCATTCACGCTAGCGTAGGCCTGGAGTCCAAAGACTTCCGCCACAGTCTTTGAGTATACATGTAAGTAAATTGGAGAGGTTGAGATGCACAGAGATAGGAAAGAAGTGACATACTGTTGGAAATAGAGCATTGTAACCACCACCTGCAACACCATAAAAAACCACAAAAAGTAACCACAATACCTTGTTACCATTTGCAGTAGTACTTCCCAGCCAAAATCCTAACACCGATATGACGCACAAAATGACTGTCAGAATTAGAGTATTTTGTCTCCCAAACCTATCGCCAGCAAATCCCGTCAACACTCGACTAACAGAATTAATACCGTTTGAAACAGCTAGCAACGTGGCCCCAAAAGCAGACGTGTAGCCCAAAGCCACGGAGTACTCAGCCAGAAATGTGAGCGGCAGTCCGTTGCCTCCCGCTTGGAGGAAGCCAGCTCCAACGCTAAAGATGAATGCAGGCTTTATGGCCAATTTGAGATCGACGTGAGTTTGTCTCCTTCCTATGAATCGTGATGGAGCTGCAGTGGCAGCAATCGGCAATGCAATTACCAGCACGAGGAAAGAAAGTAAACGGAGCGTCCATCTTGGTCCAATTGATGTCAGAAGAAAGCGTATCAAAGGAGAGAACACGAGCCCGCCGATCCCCGCACCCGATAGGATAAATCCCATAGCTGAGCCACGATGAGTGGTAAAATACTCTGGAGCTGTGCTGAGAATTGGATAGTAGAGAAACGATGAGCCAATGCCATATAGCAAGCCTTGTGTCAATAAAAGTTGCCAAACCTAGTGAAACGATTTAGTGAATGATAGAGTTGGGAGAGGATTGTGATTGTCCAACTTCTTTACAGACACTAGCCAGTCCAAAGCCTAGGCTCATGAAAGCAACTCCCATCATACAGATATATTTGGAGCCCTTAATACCTAGTCTTGCCATCATAGGATTTACCACAACGCTGCCCGCCCATGTAAGTCCAGACCCGAGTGTTCCCACGAAAGCCACTAACGCGCCTTCGTTACGAGTGGATTTTGGAAGCATGGTTTGGGCTTCAGAGATATAGTAACTCTGAAACACGCCATAAGATTGATTGAGACCAATCGTGATACATATTGTTAGAAAACTTGAGATGAGAATTATGATTCGTCTTTGGCGAGTTACAGGCCGTAATTCGAACGTGCTTTGAGGCGATTGGGGTTCGTCTACATTCAGAACACCCATTTGACTAGTCTCATTAACAAAACGATTTGAAAGGCCCGGAAGAGGATGGGTATCAGTTGCAGGCGCCATGATAATGCTTCAGTATCTGTTTTGAGTCGAGTATTACAATATCCAAATCGCTTTTGAATATTAAAGTCCCAAGATATGCCTGCAGGGATAGGCGTAATTTAAACCTATGCAGAGGCGAATATTAAGTCTGATCTGACAGACGAACACCAACAATATTCAGAAAATTGTCAACAATAACAATCGTACAATTATTCTGAATTGGAGAAACTGATATATATTGTAGCGCTTACTCATCTTCATCTGTTAGACTGACCACTAAAAGAAGTTACTGCCGGAGATAAATACGGAGTGTGTGTTCACCCGTCAGTTTCCGTCTAATATCCTCGGTTATCATAGCAGTACATGAACAGCATCTAGACAAAAAGGTGGAGATCAGAACTTAGATCTATTTGTGCTTGCTCAGGCTCAAGTTTTCAGAATGACAAGGGATAAAAAGAAGTGTAGCAAGCTATGGAAATTGATTATTTTTCGATCTTCATTCTTCAAGCTCATGGTATATCCCCTAGAATTACAAGGTTTGCTGTGGCCATGGTAAAGGCTACCCGCACCCTCCTCGAAACGCCCATTTGAATCATATATTTGCGCTCATACTACATCCCACTGAAATTTTATATTGAATCAAATCAAGATAGAAGAATTTTGATCCTTTCATGACGACACCTATTTTCTAAATGCTGTAGAAATATCGGCCCTTGTCCATTCAGCAATAATCTCTCCGTCATAAACATCTCTACTGATTGTCAAAATTCTATCATCGACTCTTTCGTACAATCTCTCGCATTGTTGGTGCACCTTGATAACAAGTTCTCGACTGAGTCCTGGATCATCTGCATCACCGAAATGTTTTTCGACTCGCTTCTTGAGAGTTTCGATACCTTTTCTAATTTCCTTGGCATCATAACCGGCAAGAATTTTCTTGAAAGTTGATTTAGAGTGACTAGGCATTGACGAAATTTTCGAAGCCGATTCACCAGGTTGTCTTGAAAGCATAAGACTCTCAGTGCTTTCTAAGAAATCGAGAAGCTTTCCTAAAGGCCTACGAATCACAGCACCAAGATACAATGTCATGTGTTCATCCATTTCTTGGCTAGCATTTTCTCGCCATTCTTCAAGTATCGGATTGGAGCGAACATCCACTTCTTCAAGGTAGTGGTTCATGTTTTCGATGAGTAAAATCTGATAGTTGAGGGCCTCCTTGTCCTCTGGATCTGCACCTGCAGTTTGGGCACTTGGGTTCTCTCTTGCGATGACTTTTAGAGACTCAAACATGGTTTTGTTCAATCGCGAGTATGCATTATTTACGATTTGTCGAACTTCGAGGCCGTCGGCGGACATTAGCATCGTTTCTATTGCCAGCGAGAATGAAGGAAATATCCTTATGAAGCCAATAACACCCTTTCGCTTCTTTATTTTGACTTTGGTGTCTTCAATGGCGCGTATTTGCTCATCGAGAAATTTGTTAAATAGACCCAGTAAACGAGCATGCAGTTTTTGAAGTGTGCGTGCGAGGTATTCCTGGCTTGATTCCTCAAGGTCGACAAGCTTGCGCTCAATTGAAACGAGTATTCCGACACCTTGCCTACCCAAAGAATTAGTTGAGTTTTCTGATTACTTGAATGATAGTGAACTTACAATGGATCAGATTGAAGGGACCAGTCTACGAGTGCCTGCATATCACCAGCCCAGAAAGCGTAAATTTCTTCCATGGTTTGCACGACACGTTTTGCCAAGATCCGATTCGGGTCCATAACTTTTGGCCTTCTCAGGTCACCACCTCGTCGCAAGTCGGGTGGTGCAGCGGCGATAGAATCTGCAAAATCGTGTTGCTCTAGTGATGAGATATGGAAAAACTCGACGATAAAATTTTGCTCCATACTCATGATTGGAATCATTTCATCAAGAGCTCCCGTAAATACTTCGTTTGGAGGCAGTCGACCATCCGCCTTGTCTGAGCTAGCTTTGTTGCCACCATCGCCAATTGGGGATCGTATTTTTGCTAATGTTTGACTTCTTTTCACTGTCAGTTTTCTGGCCGTCGTGGTTGCGAGGCCTTCGGTTTGTTTTTCGGTTTGTGATGTAAACAAAATATCAGATTCATCCCCATGTGCTTTCCTAGCGATCCGCTTCCAGGCAAAAACAGCGTCTCTGAATTCGTCCTGATACAAAGGTTTGCATGCAGACTCATAATCTAACAAAAATCTCTCCCATTCATCGGGGGCAACTTCTCTGGAGAACAACATGAGTGGACTGTATCTCCAAAGCACATTTCTCGCAAGATCATGATGACGTGGGTCAAGTTTGCCCCTCCCAGCTGCTCTGGTGATATTACCACCCTTTTCTCGGTCTAACGCTTTTCTCGTTTCATCAATTGCAGCGCGGAATTTCATTTGTAAGAATGAATACAAGCGCTGAAGAAACTCAACGCTCGTAACTCGGTACACATCTTTTTTCTCCTGTAAGACTCGCATGCTTCCGATCTCGCTATTGCCGAAACCTCCAGTTTTACCGGAACGAACGCTACCATCTTCGCTTCTTCTGGGA